TGCAAATGTAACATTTCTTATACTCTGTAGAAATTCACTTCAAGTTCCAGTGATTGTACATAGCCTACTGTAGTCACCACAGGAAGAAAAGCTTCAATAATTGTTTATAATATAAAGTATACAATCATGTCAGGAGGTCTTTTACACGTGTACTAGTAAACATGTGGGGGGACAGGTATATTATTGAACACAAGCGTAATGCCTACTCCCACTGAGAAAATTCTTTAGTAGTGAGCAGATGATGAACAGAGTGTTGTTAGGATATCACAAACTAGTGCATTAATACATTAATTATATATTAACGTATATATAAAATATCTTGAGTTTTCTGCTATGGGACATGGTAATACCAAATACTACCAACATCCACTAGTGAATAGCAGTAATTTTCCCTTTACTATATTTGCCTACTGGCCTGTTGAGATGCAACAGAAAAGCACCATCCCACTGACAACTGATACACTAAATATATGTAAGACCACAGGGAGTAATTCCAATTAGATGACCCTCTATAGCTAAAACCCACTCCCAGCTTGTAACTCCGATTTTAAACACAGAATGCTACCATACAAGCTTTTACAATCACTTTAAGCAAAGCCTTAACTCTACTCAGCATTATATATCCTAATGCAATTTCTTTTTCAGCAAGGAAATGGACGTGTAGAGCTTGTTGTATCATCTTAGATATAAACATTTCAGCTGATTAAAACAAAGTCTTCAGAGAACTAAAATCGGAGTATTATAAAAAAAACCTAGCTTGAAAACTTTTGTTTTCCTGTTCTGAATGAGGCCTCACTTTCTGATTAATGGGGAAGCAGAGGTTCTTACTCATTTGTCTGTCTCCATAGCTGATGGCTTCTGCAAGAGGGCTCCATCCCTGAGCATTTTTCACCTTTACTGGAGCATTATGGGCTAAAAGCAAGTGGGCACATTCTGTAACAGAACAGTCATCATTAGCTGAAGTAAACATCAAGGATGTAGTAATAGAATTCATAACAAAGGAAACAATAAGAAAGGAAAAGTAGTTGATAATTAATATATTAAACAGTTTATCAAAATACATATATGACTTAAAATCTAAACACACAAAAAACATTTATGTAAATCTTTATAGCACTTCCCTGTTCAATGTCAGCACTAAAAACGTAACTGGTGATCAACCAATGCACATAGAAAGGTACATGGCAGTATAGACTCCAGGCATCTCGAGAACATCGTGTGTATGGGGGGCAGAAGTTGTGGCACTAACATCCCTACGTGCTGCAGCATCTCGTGGTGAGATGGCATCTAAAGTGGGCAAAGCAGCACACTCTGACCTAGGAAACCTCTGAATACACCAACAAACAGCCACACAGCAAGAACAGGGGTTGTAGGACGAACAAGTCATGACAGGAAAGACACTGAGGGGCTGGAGCGTGTCCAGAGAAGGGCAATGGAGCTGGTGAGGGGTCTGGAGCACAAGCCTTGTGAGGAGAGGCTGAGGGAGCTGGGGGTGTTCAGCCTGGAGAAAAGGAGGCTGAGGGGAGACCTTCTCGCTCTCTCCAACTCCCTGAAAGGAGGGGGTAGCCAGGGGGGGTCGGTCTCTTCTCCCAAGGAACAGGCCATGGGACAAGAGGAAATGGCCTCAAGTTGCCCCAGGGGAGGTTTAGGATGAAGATTATGAAAAATTTCTTCCTGGAAAGGGCTGTGAAGCCTTGGAATGGGCTGCCCAGGGCAGTGGTGGAGTTGCCATCCCTGGAGGGATTTCAAAGCCGGGCAGAGGTGGTGCTGAGGGACATGGGTCAGTGGGGGTTTGGGCAGTGCTGGGTTGGTGGTTGGACTGGATGGTCTGGAAGGTCCCTTCCAACCCAGACCATTCTATGATTCTATGATATGTGGAGAACTGATAGCAGAGCACACAACTCATGGTCCTGTGCTCCTCTGGCAACACGCTACATTTTTCACTGAGAGCATCAGTAAGAGCGTGTGTCACTGCGGCCCCCAACACTGGGTGTGCACACACTGTGCTGATACAGCACCACCACCACCTCAAAGCCACACAGTTCTCAGCCAAGACAGCTCAACCTGCCCTCCCTTCTCTGCCTGCGGCTACAAGGTGACGACAGAATGACGAATGAGTCCTTAAAATTAATGAGAGAAGCTAGCGTGCCGTGTTTCCACGCTTCGGATGAGCTGCCCTCCCTTGAAACTGTTCTTCAGTTTCCAACTATGGAAAGTTTCCTCTCCACATCTCATTAGAACCCACCAGCCCCATCGCAGCACCAGGCTGGAGCTGTGGGCATGTCTCCTTATGAATAGGATGGGCAGGAACGAGGGACAGAGGCACTTCCCCAATTATTCTCCGGCTGTAGGTGTTACAGGAAACCACACCAGTCCTTCCAGATGCAACAACCGTGAGTCACTGGCAAGCACAGGGCTCGGAAAGGAAGAGATACTTCACCGGTGAATATACTATCTTTTGTGGTAAATAAACAAAAGCCCCGAGTGCTTTGCCAGCAAACAGAGAGAGGTATTTTTATGGCTGCTTAAATATAGTGCCTAACGCGCTAACCAGGCCGCACGGCGAGCAGGCAAATCAGCTCCCGTTTCCCAGCCAGGTTATGTTTCCAGTTAAACAAACAGGATGGAAATTCACCCTTTGCTTCAGCAAAGCCTGGCTGCCACGCTGCTGTATCCAGCCAAATGCTCTGCAGGCATCACCCAGAAAGACAGAAAAATGACCTTTTGGTATCAAAAAGAGGGACTAACGAGTTAGGAAAGGACCTGGGGCTCTCACTGGATCAACACCAAAGTGACACCAAGAACATGCACCCAGGAGAAAAGGAGCAGAGGGAAGGAACACCTCTCCTTGCTATGCTATACATGAGGGGAACTCATCCTGGGAATCTGCCAGCACTAACTGCTTTTTATCCTAGAGCTGAAACATAAAATCACATTTTAAGAGAGGCTTGGAATAAATACTCAACCGTACTGAATTAAAGTTGGTAAACTCTCTTCTAGCAGTTTTGATAGCAGAAGCATCTTTGATCAAAGTTGTCTGTATTTATTCATGTGGGTGTCATACTGCTGTAGCTGTATGGAAAGCATCCCTTCATGACAGCTAATCACCTTGTAACCAAAACCACAACCCCTTCTGCACCCAACAGAGCAAAACTTCTTGATACGAACTACTGACCATGATAAACTACAGCTTGAAACACACACTGCAACAAGGCACCAGAGGAGACACTTACACAGCAGATCACCAGTGCCTAAAAACACACAGCAAGTAATTACAAAACAAAAAACTATCCCACAAAGAAATGTCTTATTTAAGACTCCGAAATTACAGAAAGGCTTCTGCCTCTGTTTTCCTTCTGGGGTTCCAGGCCTCTAGTCTGGGGCCCTTGCTGGAAAAGAGTGGTTCTGATAAAGTGCCATTTCTTGCCAGTTGAAAAAACCCCTCCTATCTGTGACTTCTAGCAGGCACCTGTAAAACATATTTGCCCCACTGCTACCTCAGATTTTCCATATCTTCTTTTTCTTTCTTTTTTTTTAATTTAAGAAGTATCAATCCTGGCCGACCCCAGCAAGCTCTACCACTTCCTCTTCTGCATAAGCTGCCTCTCTCCCCTCTTCCTCGTTCCAAATTGCTTCCTGCTCCAACTCCCAATTATCTCAGATCATTTCAGAGGTATTACCAAAGCGTCCCAAGACAACTGATTGCATTTCCTGCGTTCCCCTTGCCAGATCTGCCAGATGATTCAGCCAACAGTGCTCCCCTGGAGCAGCACCAGGCACAGGACCCACGTGGCTGAATCAGCCCAAGTTGCTGGTGTTTCAGGATGAATTTTACTGTGGCAGCGACCGAACAATCATGCTCCAGGTCTCTCAACAGTGCTCCCCTGGAGCAGCACCAGGCACAGGACCCACGTGGCTGAACCAGCCCAAGTTGCTGGTGAATTTTACTGTGGCAGCGACCGAACAATCATGCTCCAGGTCTCTTCCCAGTCTTGAAATGTGCCTATTTCCATGCTTTCTGTTTGAAGTAGAAAAGAAATAAATCCTACACCTTGAAATTCTGCAGTAAGGAAACCCTTAAAAAGGGGGGCAATGCTCAAAAAGGAAAGAGAAGAGCCATCGTGAGCCAAGAAGCTGCAGAGTCCTGTAGGTGTCCCAGCCTGGACACGGAGGAAACAGCCCAGCAGCCAGGCAGAAATGGGGGAAGGAGGAGGCAAAAAGCAGGTGAGCAGTTATGTTTCCACTCACAGGAGCCATTTTATTCTAGAGGATGTTCTTCTGATTCACTTTGCTGGGAAAAGCTCAACATGGGTTGTTCAACACCACCAGTGAGCAGATCAGCAGCAGAGACACCAATAACCAGAAAAGTGTTGGCAAAGAGGAAGGGCATCGTCAAACAGAAATTGGTAAGCCTTCTGTACCATGAATTAATTGCACATCAGAATAGCTCACATTCCCTGCCTACACATACTCAGTGTCCCTCTGCTCCAGCTGCTTGGACACGAGCGATGCAGGTGTGACCACTTGTGACTCTACTGTTCCAGTTCTACTTCAATCTTCTGTGATATTCCAAGTTTCCCAATTCCCTTCTAACTCCACAAAAAGAGAGGAACTGGGTCCACCCACTGTTTTTGTCCTAAGCTCAAAGACTCCAACTGCTACAGCTCCCTCCCACCCTGCCCCACTCACTTCCAGCTCCTTGATTTTAGCCCAAAACAGCTCCCGTTTCTTCTCCAACTCTTCTCTTCTAAACCCGTGTGGTACCTTCTTTCCAGAAAAGCTCAGCTTTGAAACAGCTTCAAACACAAGATCACGCTCAGGAAAAATGAAAAAAATCTTGTTTTCCTCTCACCCCTAAGCCTTCAGGATAACTTAAGAGTTAATAAAATTGATGGCTTTACTTACCTTTATGTCCCAACATCACAGCGAGATGCAGAGGAGTGTTTCCTAGAATAAATAGAGAAAGAAAAAGGTATTAGATTCAAGGTAACAGAACCATAGCGACCCTCCAGGGGTTTGCACACACAACTCAAACGTTACCTGTTAAGAACCTTCAGCTACACCACCTAACGAAGGAACACACCAACCCACACCACAGCAGTTACATTTTTCTAAGCAAGCATTTGGATTAAAATTGTTCAGATAAATCTATCTGAACCACATTTTTCATGGGCCAACAGGGTTTTGTTTTTTTAATGACATCCTGAAACTTAAGAGGTCCAATTGTATCTTCAAGAAGGAGATAACCCAAACCTCTATGCTTATCATGGTGTGAGGAGCCTGCTAGTTTACAAAGAATGACATATCTGGGTTAAAAGCTACTCAAAGACATGATACTGATTAAAATTTTAAGAGCCCATTTTATTAATTTAGTACAAAATCTTTAGTGATACAGTATTGGACAGATTGTGAAGCAGCAGTAGCTTCACCACAAAAATGCCTTTTGGTTATTTTAATGCCTTGTTTCCAAAGAAAGCTTCCGAGATGATCAGCAGCCATTACAAACAGGACTCTATTTTCCTGGCTGCGCATATGACACATTTTGTACTTCTGTGCTTAAACACGTGCTGGAAGGCACAGAGAGTCGTTTTGCTGGATTAATGCTGCTACCAGAATCCTGACACGTTTCATTTCTGCACCTTCAGGATGCAAAAATTCTTCCATTTAACGCTATCGCTCTGTTTACGCGGTTAAACACTTTTCTTAGGGGAGTTAAATAGCTGAGAACAAATTTATTTTTGCAATTATAACAAACACAGTTGATTTTTAGGCTTATTTCACAGTGTGGTGGCAGCAATAAGCACCTGGCACATGGGAAGGACACTGTGCTGTACATGGAAAAGATGCAAGGCAGAGCATGGAGCGGGTGCTGGGCAGTGGGGCTGAAGGAGCCATTCCAGGGCTGGCACAAAGGACTCCTGTGGGTCACAGCAGCATCCCAGACAGCTCCAGCCCGCTTCGTTATGCACTCTCTAATTGTGCTAACATCCCCTGTTCTATTAATAGAGGGTTGTAACATCTGGGAGCCAAAGCAGAATTGAGAAGGCTGGATGCAGCCACTCTTTGTTAAGCCACTGAAATAATGACGCCGCTGCGGAACAAACTTGAGAAAGAGCCAAAGCGTTTACTCTGAACATTCAAATTATGCAAGCCAGGGGCAAACATTTTCCTCACCTTATCAAGCACTTCAATATGATGTATTTATAAAGAAATAGCTCTAAGCTAAGGTTTCTCTTACGTTAATAAATGTTAAAATTTACAAAACCCACCCCACCCTTCAAACGGTGAATAAAACAAGAGCCAGGCAGCTCCAGCAGCTCCAACAGCTTGGTGCAATGGCAAGAAACAACGAAACTAAAGCTAACATGAGGCCCCTGAGAGCTTTCCCGAGAACTTTGCTGGATTTCATTCAGCTGATAAGCAGAAAGTGCAGTTGTGTGACAGCACCCATCATTTCCCAACTCCTCTGCACAAGGTCCTGAGCAACCTGGTCTCCCTCCAGCCTTCTCCCTGCTCCGAGCAGGAGGTCACCTACATCACCCCTAGATCACCCCCCAGCAGAGACTTTTGCTTCACTCAATGATCGCCTTCACACCCAAAAGTATGCAGTTCAAGAATGAGATAGGAAACCTGGATACGGCAGAGAACGGGGGGGAGGAAGAGGAGCAGGCAGAAAAACTGCCTACGATAACCAATAAAGCACAGAAACTAGAATCTATTGACTCCAGGAGAAAAAAAAAAAAAAAGCTAGTTATGGAAAGCTAGTTCAGGAAACTGAAAAGAGGTAACAACATCCTGCTTGATGGTCTTTAGCCAGCAAGTCCCTGGCAAGGAGTCCTCCTCTACCAGCACAAGAGGAGCCAAACTAATGGGTAACCCAGGAAAGCACCTTTAGGAAAGGGTGGAAGAGGGAAAGAGAAGGCAAACCCATAGAAAAGGGACGTTATGAGACTTAGAAAGACCATAGATCCTCCTGTTCTGGACTACCTGGCCAGTCAGGCCTTTTTCTCCTTGCCCCTGGAAAGCTCCTCTCCAGACAACTCTTAGCCTCCCCAAAGGAAAAGGGTCCCAGGAAGAGCCGAGACATGACACTGGCACATCCAGAAATCAAACCTGGAACAGCTCCTTGCAAAGTTCTGTCCCTAATCATCCCTCCTACGGCTGATACCTGGGGAGGTCACGTTGCTCTGTGGGCCTAACAAAATGGGGTTTATCAGTAGCAAAGTGAACTCTTGCCTTATCAAAATAAGCTGTGTGAGGCTGTGTGTCACAAAATGCAGGCATTATGGCGAGGAGTCACTCAGCTCACACAACACCCCCATGCAATATTCAGGTTCTTCCTCCCGGCAGGAGAAAGGGAAGAGCTGCTCAAGCAGAAAGGCCCCTGCCTGACCCCAGACCTAAGCAGAGGTCGGCACTCGCTCTGCCCAGGAAAACTGAGGGAAGACAAACGCCTTGGGAAAGACCCTGCAACCCCAAGTTCCACCAACCCTACAGTACAAATCATCTTTAGTTACTTCACGGTGGCACAAACAGCTGCAGCTCCTCCAGAACGTTTACGATCCAGAGCACACAGAGCAAATTCCAGGTAAAAACCAGCCTGATGATAAAATAAAAAAAAAAAAGGGGGGGTGAACTCCATGAACTCCAACACTAATCGATTTTTCCTGCCAGCGCAACTGCGCCTTTCTGCCCGGAGAGGTGAGAGAGGGCAGCTCCACTCCTTCCAGTTGCACAGATGGCTCTAACAGCTTGAGGTTTCCACCAAACCACCGCACAAACCACACGGGTAAGCGTCAGATTCCATGAGAACAAGTAGCTTTACAAGGGACAGCTGCTGGAGAGAGAGAGGGAAGGGGGCAAACGTACAACTCTGTCCCTCACCTATGGAGGAGAGCCGCAATAAAGAGGGCACCGTGACTAATGAAGTGGCTGACGTGTAGTTTTGATGACCTCCACGCAATTTAATTGCAATGAGAACGTGGTTGCTATCAGCATTTCTGGACACTGACCAGAACACCAAGGGGCACACACTTGAGAGGCTGCAATGCAATTCATTCCCTTCTGGCAACAGCTCGATTCGCCACATAAACAAACCTCATCTCACACCAAACCACCGCACAAACCACACGGGTAAGAGTTAGATCCACAAGAACAAGTAGCTTTACAGGGGACAGCTGCTGGAGAGAGAGAGGGAAGGGGGCAAACGTACAACTCTGTCCCTCACCTATGGAGGAGAGCCGCAATAAAGAGGGCACTGTGACTAATGAAGTGGCTGACGTGTAGTTTTGATGACCTCCACGCAATTTAATTGCAATGAGAACGTGGTTGCTATCAGCATTTCTGGACACTGACCAGAACACCAAGGGGCACACACTTGAGAGGCTGCAATGCAATTCATTCCCTTCTGGCAACAGCTCGATTCGCCACATAAACAAACCTCATCTCACCTCTCCCTTCCACCTAAAGCCAATTCATCAATACCTACAGCTTTGGGAAGAGAGGAGATACGCTCCCCTCCCCGGCCCACACAGGCTCTTCTTCCAAGAAAGAGCCTGAAATCCTGCACATGTGTATCCAGGACACACAAACAACAACTGTTTGCGCAAAAATGCGCATAAAATCCAGTATTTATCCACAGGTGCGTGTGTGTGTGCAGCTCTGACCCTTTGGTTTGGCACCTGGGCGCCTTCGGGGAAGCTGAGCCTGTTTTCCAAGAGCAATTCAGCAATAAGATTGATTTGTCTACCCTAGAACATAGCATGGTTTTATTCTGAATATAAGTTTAATCTCTTACGTGCATATTATAGTAAAAATAAAAGTAATCTAATGGGTATACGTACATGCTTCTCCCTAGAAACTCATTGGTTTTGGAATAATGATACTGGCCTTCCAATGGGCAATGGTTTTGGGGGTTAATTGAGAGCATGAGGCAGCCTGCACTCACTGACAGCCACAGCCAGCCTTTGTTTTTTCAGAACACCAGGAGTTTAACGTTCTACAGGACTTGGCTTTTCTGCTCTCAACCACACGCTACAACTGGGACTGAAATATAAACAGTAACTGTTACTAGAAGTTCTCTCTCCCCCCTGTCACCTCCTTATCCTGTACTAGGAATCCTCTAGCTTATTTCTGGGTATAATTGTACGCTGAAGTTCTCTCCCCCAAACCACTCACAATTCAAATATGTAAACAAGTGGCAGATGGATTCAGGCAGAAAGAAAACAATAACAAGGAAATACTAGTCAGGCCTTTGGTATGTCAAGAGATCCAGGGTTTCGTTGTTGGTTTGTTGTTGTTTTTTTTTTTTAAATTGAATAGCAAAGGAACACTTACAAGTAAAAACTTGGGGGAAGGTAATGAGACACAAATCCCCCAAAGTGTTCCTGCTGTGAACAGCATTGAGAAAGCAGAAAGGTGTTCATTTAAAAGTCCTGTCTATGTATATATATACATGCCTATGCATATATATATATTTACTAATAAAAGGATGGTGTCAATGTTTGTGCTACACATTGAAGACGATAGCACAGCAAAGAGGGATCAGGAAGTGCCTTAAAAGTAAAGATCTTGAGCGCCTGATGATGAGTTTTTGGATGAGGAACTGGAGGAGGTGCAGGGGAGAAGCCGGCAGAAGGAATACACCGAGTGAGAAAATTCCTTCCCCAGTCTGTTGCCTTCATTCTACCAGTATTTGCTGCAACCTTTGGAATGAAGACGACAGGATAAATATATCTGTAGCTATATTTATATCAACGTACTTAGAAAAACGTTATGACAGTTGTAAGGAATACTCCTCCCCATCCCGACTGAGGCAACCGAGCCTTGTGTTACTCCGCGTGCAGCAGTCTGAGTTTCAGAGCACCTCATGTTAGCATGGACACAGCCTTTAATCCCCAATTACGTTATCCTTCCCATTGTACCAATCCCAAAGATTGCTCTACCTTCACGTTCCTTTTTATTTCGCATAACCCAATTAGGTAGGACAAAAGGGAGGATTTATCTCTTAATCAGAAAAAGAAGGTAACTGCACCCTTTAATCGCAACCTCCCCAGAACCTGGCATTCCCCAGCAGACACGCACTGCGTTACCCAGGACACAGAGATAAAAACTGACCATGAAACTTAAGCTGACATGACGGGCTGGTTCACTTTTTTAAACAGTGTAAAATATTCCCCAAATTAAACGCATTATTTTAAAACGTCCTGGAGAGATTTTAACTATTTAATGCTTTACAGAGCAGCAGGAGGCTCACGTTTCTACCCCTGCTACTGCCCCTTCTGTGCCCAGAGCAAGCCACCGCTGTGCCCAGGCTTGCGGGGGGCAGGGAACACACCGCTGGCTCTTTCCAACCCCAAAACTACAGCGTTTAGAAAAAGTTTTAGTTCGTTGTTGGTTTTTAGCTTGGGGAAAAACCAAAGACGGTTCCACCAGGAGCCAGAGGAACCGCTCCTGAGCTTGTCAGCTCGGAAAGCGACCAGGTGACAGTTCAGGCCCTTTAAAACAGTATTATTTCTTTTTAAATGAGGTGGGTGTGGGGGGCCCGCAGCAGCCCCGGGTAAGAGGCAGCTCTCCCAGCGCTACACCCTTCCGAAAGCCGGTACCGTCCTCACCCCTGTCACCAGCGCCTCAGGGCCCCTCCAGGCCCCCTCGCCCCTCAGAGCCCATCCCGCCCCCGGGACCCCGGCGGCCGCTCCCCAGCCCGGGCCGAGAGGCCGCGGCCCCCTCCCCAGGGCCGGCCTGGCGGGCCTCTCACCGTGGCTGTCCTTCTGGCCGATGCCCTGGGTGCGGATGAGGGCCGAGAGCCGCCGCACGTCCCCCTTGAAGACGCACTCGTGGACGGGGAAGTGCGCCGGGCACTTGTCGGGCTCCGCGGGCGGGCCCGTCCCGCCGCCCGCCGGCCCCCCCTTCAGCGGCAGCCGGTGGTGGTGGTTGCTGAAGATGCGGTGGCCGCCGGCCCGCCCGCCCTTGCCGCTGCTCCCGCGCCCCCCGGTGAAGATGCCTCCGGGCGCGGCGGCCGCCTCCTCCTCGCCGGGCGCCAGCAGGTCCCCGTCCTCTTTGCTGGGCTTGTGGTCCCTGCGCAGCGAGCGCAGCTTCTCTCCGGTCATCGCCAGCGGCGGCCCCGCGGCCGGCGGGGCGCCGCCGGGAAGGCTGGCCGCAGCCGGAGGGTGGAGGCGCTCAGTCCCGTCCCGCCGGCATCTCCCGCCGCCGCCACCAAGGCGCCCGCCCGCGGGGGCCCCCACTCAACGGCCCGGCGCCGCCGCCGCCATCTTGGCCGGCTGCTCCCGCGAGAGGCGCGGCGCCTTCCCGAGACTTCCCCGCGCACCGCGAGACTGAGGGGAAGCGGCGGCAGCGGCGGGACCGACCCCCGCGGATGAGGCGGACCCGGCCGGCGCCGCCCCCGCACCGCCCCTCGCTCGGCTCGGCCCCGCCGGCTCCCTCAGGGCACGCAGCTCGCACCGGGCCGGGGCAGGAGCCCGCGGGCAGCCCCTGTCGGCCGCCGCCGGGGTGAAGGCTGAGGCCGGGGCCCGCGCTGGGCCTTCGGGTGAGGGCTGAGGGGATTGCTTCTGCCCTGCTTTGAGCCACACCGGGTTAATTTCTCTTTCAGTAATTTGACTTCTCAGTCAGGTCTCTTCCAAGGTCTGGGACAACTACACTTTTTTAGAAGACTCTGGTGTCTGGATTTGTGACAATATTTCCTGTACAGCCAGCTCTGGGGGGCGGGTTCCAAGGTCTCGGTGTTGGGGACGAGGAGGAGCGAGACCCGGGCACTTGCCCCAAGCTGCCAACAGGGTTATTTCATACCATGAACGGCACCGTCCAGAGAAATCAGACAGTTTGCTGAGGAGTTCTCTCTCTCTCTGTCTCTCCCTGGATGGCTGGGACCCTGAGAACCCCCTGCCCCGGAGCCCTGAGCCCTTCCCTCCCTCCCGAAGCCGCAGCGCTCGCAGGGTCCCACACGGGCTGTCCCTGCGGGGAGGGCACGGCTTCTGCTGGGGAATGGGCTGGGGACGGGCCTGGGGGGTTTGATATCCATATCGGGATCAATACTGGTTCTTTAGGGTTATTAATGCTAATTATCTCGCCTTATTCTATTAAATCTGCTTATATGTCAACCCTTAGATTTCCTTGGTTTTCCCAGTTCCCCTTCCCAGGTGGGGAGGGGTCAGCGGGGGAGAGAATAATTCAAACCCTAAAGCCTCTGAAGGGATTTATGCACATGCTAATATATCTGCGCTAAGAATATATCTGGCTTTCCTAGGGAAATGGCTGCTGCTTACACTGGGGCCAGGCAGCTCGTCATTCTCCCCTTGAGGTGATGGCACTGCATAGAGGGCTGCGCTTCCCGTCCCATGTCCCGTCTCCTCGGCCCCGCACTGCTGCTCCAGCACAGGCTCTGGCTGCTGGGAAGAGCTACCCAGGCGGATCTTGGCTGGCCGAGGGAGAGAAACACCACCTCCCGTGCTGCGTATCACGAGGGAAGGTCCCAGAGTCTCGGGCTGTTGCAAAACTCTGCTGTGATGACTGCTGTGGATTCCTCTCGGGTTCGTTTGTAAAGGTGGATCCCGGAGTGCTGTGGTTTGAGGTCTCGTTACGCAACTGTACAGATGATGGCGTGTGTCCTGCGTGTTGCTGCGTGCCAGAGGTGTAAACAAACCACACAACAACGAGATAAATGAGATGAGCCAGTTCCTCTCATTTGCTGAGAGAGCAGAAAGCCCTGGGTGACCTCCCGGGTCACAAAAGGTGAAGGGATTTCTCAAGGTGACCTGAACTCAGCATTCCCGTGGCTCCTACGGTGCTGCTCCCGTGAATCCTCGTGCAAGCCACCAGGAAGATACAGGCTGCTAATACTGTCCTGAACAAAACCTCGCCCAATCCCTTCGCTGTTCATCCAGTTCCCTTGTCTGCGTGGCTGTTTCATTCCCCGAGGGAAAGGGAAACAGAAGGAAAAGCCCCAGCGTGGTACCTGGCTGTGAAACACCAACTTGTCTGGAGAATGACAGGACCTGGCCAAGTCGTCTTCCTCAACAGCAGGCAGAGGGAAGGAGGAGCAACAGCCGTCCTGCCCTTGTGTCAGTCCTTGTAGATTTGTTATCATCTTATAAAGGAACTGTGTGAGGTTCAGCTTCCAGGTTTCCCTGCAGGAGCTCCTGCTTTAGCGCTGGTCCCGCATGGATCTACTCACAACAGTGGAATGAAGCATTAAAAAAAATTATGATGTGTCAAATTCCAGGTAAACTGGATTTTTCACTAATGCTTCCAGGGGAAACAACCTACAAGTTGTCAGTTGATTCGATCTGCTGTGATAAAAGAACCGCCTTTCTGGGTGACCTCTTTACCCGACCTGCATCGTCTCCTCCCAGAGGAGGTGGCTGAGAAGAATCCTAGGCAGAGATGGGAACTGTGGATTTCGGTGCCTGCCCTCTTCAGAGTGACAGCACAGCTGGTGCTGGGAGCTCCACGCTGCATTTTTAATTACTGGAGGAGCGAGAGGCATGAAGTCACTGTTTACCAGCTTATTACGGAGTCCCTTATTCAGCCCCAAAATGTAATGAAGGCATTACTAATGGGAACTGCTCTGTGAACCCCGGCGTCTGTAGTGAATCCACATCTCCTCCTGCGTCATTATTACACACCTGCCAACTCTTGAGAATTCTTGGGGTTACCATCTAACAGCAGAACTTTGTCTTGTTTATATTCACCATCTTCTTAAATCACTTGAATCCTCTTGAGAATTCTTGGGGTTACCATCTAACAACAGAACTTTGTCTTGTTTATATTCTCCATCTTCTTAAATCGCTCTCCTCCAAGCGTTGGGCAATTTAGATAAAAGCAGGAGGATCAGATATTGTGGCAGCATGGAGGAGCATTGTCTGCAGTTACTGGGCTGCCAGTGGATGGAAACTTCACTGATGGAATTCCTGACGTTGGAAATAAATAATGGAGGAGGGTGTATTCCTCCAGGAAGGATGCTGAGGTTTTTTTTTTAGTATATAAATGAATAGGTCAAAAAATAGAGAGGCTAAATTTGTCTGAAACCCAAAGGTAGGCAGTAAATTCAAGCGATACGCTGTGCGTGTGCATCTGCATTGACTCCAGCAGTAAGGAACAGTGACATTTAAACCCACCTCATGGAATATTGAAAGCCCCGAGTCCGGAGGAACGCTCTCCGCTTGCCTCTCCCCTGTCTCCCACAAGGCACAACAAACAGAAATAAATGAGGTCCTGGAGGAGAGTGAATGGAATTTGCCAGCTCTGGGGAAATTAACTTCGGCTTCTCCCGGGCATCCGGAATGAGTGGCCCCAGAGATGGTAGGGAGCAGCGCGTTTCTCAAAGTGACAAAGAGCATCTCTGGAAATTAAACTGTACAGGAAAAAGTCAGTAAGAAATCTTAAGACATCGTAGCCTTGATGGCTTCCGTTTCAGTGGAAATATTGATCTCTTTTCAGCTGGTGCTGTCCCGAAGCCTTCCAGAAACGTTTATATCCCTTTATTAAGAAAACCACAAGGTGTTTCCTCAGGTTTCAGACCGCTCCCTGGGACTAGCAGCTGCAGAGCGTCTTTTTGTACTCGGAGAAGGGCTCCAGCAGCCCGTTGTGAGGATATTGGGGTGAGGATCCCTGTCTGCCGAGGGAGCGATAGCAGATGGCACCTGTGTGCTTCCTTGTGGACAGGCCAGAGACTCTCGTGGGCTCCTCATAGATAACCATAACATGACGCTGGAGGTAGAGGAAGAAATTTTGTATAAAGAGGAAAAAACTCCATTTTCCCCATTGTCTCAGCTTGACTATCCCAAATTCCATAATAAAAATTATTATAAAAAGAAAGCGGACCCTTTATGGTACCGCCTGAGATTCACTGACCGCCTGACACTCTGTGTGCCCTGGCCGTGTGGCAGGTTCAGAGTGAAGCTTTGCCCGTGGGGTTTGCACACACATTTCCCACAGGCCCACAGGGAAAGGGATTTGTCACCACAGGGTTAAATTCCCCTCTCCTGAAGTTTGGGTGCTTCACTGTGCTGAGGCTGAAAAACAGATGACAACCATCAGTGTATCCAGTTTTGCTCGGAATTTACTACAAATGGCACGAAAATTGTTTGAAATTCATAGCATCATAGAGTGGTTTGGGTTGGAAGGGATCATAAAGACCATCTCGTTCTGCCCCCCTCCTCCTAGGGCTCCCCTCCCTCATCCAGAGTCCCTCCCCAGCTTTCCTGGAACCCCCCCTTCTTGAGGGACTGGAAGGGGCTGGAATGTCTCTCCGGAGCCTTCTCTTCTCCAGGCTGAACCCCCCCAACTCTCTCAGCCCCCCCTCCCAGCAGAGGGGCTCCAGCCCTCCCAGCATCTCCGGGGCCTCCTCTGGCCCCATCCAACAGCTCCATGTCCTTCTGATGGTGGTGACCCCAGAGTTTGGGGGGTGTCTCCCCAGAGCGGAGAAGAGGGTCAGAATCCCCCCCAGCCCTGCTGTCCACGCTGCTGGGGATGCAGCCCAGGGTGGGGGGGTTTCTGGGCTCCAGCCCACGTTGCCGAGGCCTGTGGAGCGGGGGGTTTCTGGGCTGCCAGCCCACGTTACCAGGGCGTGTGGCGCTTCTCATCCACCAAGTCTCCCCAGAGCGGAGAAGAGGGTCAGAATCCCCCCCAGCCCTGCTGTCCACGCTGCTGGGGATGCAGCCCAGGGTGGGGGGGTTTCTGGGCTCCAGCCCACGTTGCCGAGGCCTGTGGAGCTTCCCATCCACCAACACCCCCAGGTCCTTCTCCTCAGGGCTGCTCTCGGTCCATCCTCCCCCCAGCCGGGATTTGTGACCGGGATCGCCTGAAATCCATCCTGAGAGGCCAGAGAGGGAGCTGTGAGCGCTGGGAAGAGCTCTCTAACGGGGTTCGGTTGTGTGTCCTGGCCGGGCCCGCCAGCCCGTGCCGGCTGTGGAGGCAGGAGGGCGCCGTTCCCTGGGGAAAGGCCTGGTGGGGCCACCAACGCCCCGGTCACCGGCCACTACCGGGGATACAGGCCTTCCCGCTATTTGTTCCTCCCTTTCGCCGGGCTTGCACGGATCCGCTTCTCCCCCGGCGGGCCCGGGTTACCTCAGGGCCGGGCTGAGGGGAGGCCGCGGCCGCGCCCGCTCTGTGGTGCTGCGGCGCCCCCTGGCTGGCTGGCTG